TTTTTGATGCAGGCTGGAAGAGGACTTCTGTCTTTCCGAGGCTAATTGGGAGACCGAACAGTTTGGATGCTTTAGAGAATCTGTCAGTGATGGTCTGCAGGTGGTTCTCTTGGTGTGCCATAAGGGCGCAGTCATCAGCAAACAGCGCTTTGGTGATAATTCTCTCCAGTGTTTTGGTCTTTGCAGTAAGGCGTCTCAAATCAAACAGTGAACCATCCCAACGGTATCTGATGTAAATACCAAGATCTAAGTCTCTGACAGCATGCACGAGGACTCGAGTGAGGAACAAGTTAAAAAGCACCGGGGCGAGTACGCAGCCCTGCTTCACGCCATTGGAGATGTTAAATTTCTCAGACGGCACACCATCCAAGAGTACCTCTCCTGTCATGTTCTCGTGAAACAGCTTGATGAGTGAGATGAACTTCGGTGGGCAACCCAGCTTCCTGAGGATGATCCACAATGCATCTCTGTTAACCGGGTTGAATGCCTTCATCAGATCAATGAAGACAGAGTAGAGGTTCATATTCTGCTCAAGGCACTTCTCTTGCACCTGTTTCATTACAAAGATCATATTGATAGTACTGCGATTAGGGTGGAAACCACATTGTGACTCGGGGAAACTCACTTCTGAAACTGTTGAAATAAGCCTGTTCAGGATGATGCGGGCGAAGATTTTCCTGGCAATGGAAAGCAGTGAAATACCTCTGTAGTTCCCGCAGTCGGCTCTTGCACTCTTATTTTTGTACAGAGCAACTATCGCGGCATCATGGAGGTCAGATGACATTTCTTCCTCTTCCCAAATACTGGTCAAGACATTATGAAAAACGTTAAGTGACTCCTCATTAAATGCCTAGTACAGTTCTGCAGGAATTCCATCCTTGCCGGATGCCTTGCCATAATTCATCTGCCTGACGGCCTTTCTAACTTCATCAATAAATGGAGGATCTCCCAGGTCTTCTGGGTTGGTTTCTGAGGGATCTGTTCTCCAGTGCTGGCTGACTGACTGATGATGAACGATTCAGGAGTTGACTAAAATACTCTTTCCACTGGTTATTAATGCCAGCCTTATCCCTGATCAACGTGGCTCCGTCTGCAGACAACAAGGGGGCAGAGCTAGACTTGGAAGGACCAAAGACTGACTTGATAGAGCTGAAGAACTCCCTTAGGTTGTTTAAGTCAGCACAATGTTGCACCTCTTCAGCTTTCTTCTCTCACCACTGATCGTGCATTTTGCAGATTTCTCGTTGAGCCTGGGCCTGGAGGAACTTAAACCTGTCTTTCTTAGAGATGGAGCCTGGGTCATTCTGCCACTCCATAAATGCCTTGTTCTTCTTGGCAAGCAGGTCCTCAATAGCACTGTTGTTCTCATCAAACAAGTCTTGATTGCGTTTCTTAGGACCACGCACTGACTTCGCTGTCTCTATCACCATTTCTCTCAACTGGCTTCACTTCTGAATTGGACCTCCAAACAATGGTCCGTTGGCAGTCAATCCCTTCAGCCTTTCTGCAAAGGAAGATGAGATGATTTGCAAAATGCCTCATTCTATCTATGAAAAAAGCGAATGCCCTTTTTGCATCCAGAGAAAAGAACGGTTACTTACCTGTAACTGTTGTTCTTCAAGATGTGTTGCTCATGTCCATTCGAAGTAGGTGTGCGCACCGCATGCACCATGTCTTCCGGAGCGTTTTCCCTAGCGGTACCTGTAGCGCCGGCAGGGCACCCCCTGGAGTGGCGCCACCATGGCGGGGCATAAGTACCCCTGCCGGCGCTGCCCCCCCTCAGTTCCTTCTTTCCCG